TGAGCCCTGAGGGGAGGGATTTGATAGAAACATCCCATTCAGGACGGAGTGTTCCAAGGTTATTCACTCTCTACACATTGTTCGGCTGTGGGTCTCCATATCTGTTCCCATCTGCTGCAGGAGGAAGCTTCTCTGGTGATGGCTGAGCAAGGCACTGATCTGTGAGTACAGCAGAATGGCATTAGGAGTCATCTTGTTGCTATGTTCCTTTAGCAGGACAGTGGTGTTTGGACCACTAGGTCCATGGCCTACTTAGTCTCAGGGTTTTGGCCACAGTGTTGAGCGTGGGTTCCTGCTCATGGAGTGGGCCTTAAATCCAGATACTGGTTGGTTACTCCTACAAACTTTGTGTCACCATTGCACTAGCGCATCTTACAGGCAGGTCACCTTGTCGATCCCAGGGTTTGAGGCTGGGTGGGTGTTTACCATTCTCCTTTAGCAGAATGCAGAATGCATTCCAGTACCATGAACACTGCTCTAGGTAGACACCAGCACGACTTCTTATTTAATGAGTTGTATAGGTCTTGTCTTTAGCCACAAGGCCTTAACAGTTTCTGGAGAGCAACCAATGACCTCAGCAATGGCCTGGGTTGTTTGGGGGTTCCCATGGGGCCCCTTTAGCCAACAACTCTATTATATGTAACCAATTCCCAGGACTGGAGGCTTCATTTGGTGATCACAGGTGTCCAGGCGCTAAGACTCCCCCATAATTTGGATAACTTTAATATACATACATATTTTAGGAAGCTTCTACTGTATTGTTTCCATATGACCTCTCAAGTGGCCCTTAGATTTAGCTGTCCTTCATCCTATACCCTTCCTCTCCTTCCCCATTTGATCCTCCCGTCCCAATCCCCCCAACCTCCATCCAGCCATAATTATCTATTCTATTTCCCCTTCCTAGGAAGATCCAATCCCCAATCCTTTACTCTTAAACCTAACCTCTGTGATTGTATGGATTTGTAGCCTGATTGTCAAAGATTTAACAGCTGACATCCATGTATAAGTGGATTCATGCCATGTTCGTCTTTTGGGGTCAAGGTTACCTCACTCGGGTTGATTTTGTTCTGGCTCTGTCCATTTACCTGCAAATTTCATTATTTCATTTTTTAACAGCTGAATCACATTTTCTTTATCCATTCATCCATTTACAGACATATAGTCTGTTTCCAGTTTCTGGCTATTATGAATACAACAGCAATGAACATGAATGAGCAAGTATCTCTGTGGTAGGATGGAGTGTCCTTTGGGTATATGCCCAAGAGTGGTCTACTTGGATCTTGAGGTAGATCTGTTTCCAGCTTCCTAAGGAACTGCCACACTGATTTCCATAGTGGCTGTACAAGTTTGCACTCCCATCAGCAATGGGTGAGTGGTCCCCTTACTCTACATCCTTGCCAGCAGGAGCTGTCATTTATTTTATTGTAGTTTTGATTTTCATTTTCCTGTTGACTAAGAAAGTTGAATAATTAGGAAAATTTTAATCAGCATTTAAGCCATGTTAAAAAAAAAACTTGCATGATGCAGGATTTTTATAGTATTTATCAAGTCACATTTTAGTCAAATGAACCAAATATTGATATTGTCCACCCTCTACAAAACAAGTAAGACAATTGTCAACTGAAAGGATCTAAATATTCAGAACACCTTATATACTAAAGCCAAATAACCCAGGCGTTGCAATGGTCCTGCAATTGACATCCGATGGACAGTGAATGTCCCCAGTGTTGTGTTCTTAGAAAGTAAATTCATCTGTCATATGACCCCACCTTGGGCTTATTAAAAAGCTGTGAACTACACTGGGAGATCAAGATTGATATCTTCACAAATGAAATCATAAAGTCAATGAAACATATCACCCATGTAGAAACAGATGGAAACGGACAGCTTTAACTGCTATCAGACAAAACAGTCCAAAGAGGACCCAGCTGGTCGCAGAACAGACTCAAGTCATCAACCTGTTTCACTGGACATTGCACTAGAAGGGAACTTGTTCAGACTCTTTTAATGGCTGAACACTAGAGGTGAGTCGAAAAAGAAAGATAAATTTAAAAACTATTTTTGTCTAAAAACAAGAATCTTATTATAAAAGGTTGTTAGTAAATGATGAATTGGAGTCTTCCGAAAACATTTTGATCCCAACTCCATACTTCCTTTAGCTCTGACTGCAATAATATGAAAAAAATACTCTGGTATTTAACTAAACATAAATTTTGTTTGTTAGGGGTACTTGGAGGGTTGGCTTTTTTATGTGGGGGTCTTATTATGTTGCTGTAGCTGGTCTTGATCTAATAGGCTAAAGGTATCCTCCTGCCTCAGCCTGCCTAGGAGTTGGGATTATATGCAAAGCTCACCATCTTCAAAACAAAATTTAACAATTATCAGGAAAACATAAGTAGTAATACATAACATGAAAGTTGTAAAATTAAATTGAGCCCATAAAAAGTACCTTTCTCTACAAAATCATAAAAACAAAGCTAAAGTTCCTGCTGTCTTTCTGATCTCCTTCTGCACAGAAAAGCAGATCTTCATATTTCTGCTTTAATAATACAGCACAGCCTCTGTGATGCATCACATCACTGTCCATTCTCCTTAGCTGTAACTGAGAGACTGTCCACCTCCCTTACCTCATTTCCATCCAGGTGGCCTTTTGAGAACTAATGTCATACCAGAATTTCTACACAGATGCTCTGATTTATGATGAGGTTACACCTTGATAACTCTGTTGACTTAGCTAGGTTTTTTTTGTTTTTGTTTTTGTTTTGTTTTATTTTGTTTTGTTTTTCCAAGACAGGGTTTCTCTGTGCAGCTTTGGAGCCTGACCTGGAACTTGCTCTGTAGACCAGGCTGGCCTCAAACTCACAGAGATCGCCTGCCTCTGCCTCCCAAGTGCTGGGATTAAAGATGTGCTCCACCACTGCCTGGCAACTTAGTTAGGGTTTCTATTGCTGCAATGAAACAACATGTCCAAAAAGCAAGCTGGGAAGGAAAGGGCTTATTTGGCTTATAACTTTCATACCAATATTCATCATCAAAGAAAGCCAGAAAAGGAACTAAAACAGGGCAGGAACCTACAGACGGAAACTAATGCAGAGACCATGGAGGGATGCTACTTACTGACTTGCTCCCCGTGGTTTGCTCAGCCTGCTTTCTTATAGAACCCAGGACCACCAGCCCAGGGGATGGCAACACCCACAATGGGCTGGGCCTTTCTCCATCCATCAATCACTAGTTAAGAAAGGGCCCTACAGCTGGACCTTATAGAGGCATTTTCTCAATTGGTGTTTCTTCCTTTCAGATAACTTTAGCTCATGCCAAGTTGACATAAAACTAGCCAGGACACCTGTATTATGTTGAAAATATTGTAAATCAAAAATACATGAATTATGTCTAGTCTACCAAGCATCATAGCTTAGTCTAACCTACTGCAGAATCCTTTTATTACCCTACTTTTGGGCAAAATCATCTATCAAAAACAGTGGTGACTATTTATGCGGTTCTTATAATGCTTCCCTTTTTCCCCAAGACTTTGCTTTCTTTTCTGTCTTTGGTTTTGGTTTCCCGTCACCAATCATAGCCTTGAAAATATTAAGTGGAAAATTCCAGAAAGTTTTCCATTTGTGTACTTTTTGTAGGAGTGTGATGAAATCTTATACCATCCTGCTCCATCCTACTGAGTCTGGGCTGTGAATTACCCCTTCGCCTGGCCTACATGCTGTGTGCATTACCTTCCCAGCCATCAGTAGCTCTCTCAACCACCACATCAACTGCCATAATATTGCAGTGCTTGTGTTTAAGTATCCTGTACTTTACTTAACATGCACCCAAGGAGAAAAAGGAGTAATATTGCTAATTTTGCTATGTCAAAAGAAGCCTCAAAAGGCTTCCTTTAGGTACTGTCTCACAGTCTAATAGAAGAATGAGTATAGTACAACTAGATGAGACACTCATAGTCACATGGCCTTATTATGTATGCTAACATATGTATTTTACTTTTAGACAGAGAGAAGGTCTCATTGTACAGTTCAAACTGCCCTCAAACTCACTGTGCAACCCAGGCTGACTTCTACCTCATCATCCTCCTGCCTCTGCCTCTTGCCAGCTGAGATTATAGCATGTGCCACCATGCCTGACTTACTCTATTTACAACCAGTTATTGTTGTTACACTCCTCATGTGCCTAATACACAAATAAAAAAAAATTGAGCTGGGTATAGTGTTGCACACCTTTGAACCCAGCACTCAGGAGGAAGAAGCAGGTAGCTCTCTGAGTCGAAGCCAGCCTGAGCTATATAGTGAGTTTCAGGACAGCCAGGATTATGAGGTAAGACCTTGTCTCAAAAAGAAAGAAAAAAAGGAAAGAAGAAAGAAAAGAAAAGAAAGAAAGAAAGAAAGAAAGAAAGAAAGAAAGAAAGAAAGAAAGAAAGAAAGAAAGAAAGAGAGAGAAAGAAAGAGAGAAAGAAAGAGGAAGGGGAAAGAGATGGAGAGAGGGAGGGAGGAAAAGAAGGAAGGAGAAGGGAAGGGAACGGGAGGGAAGGAAGGATGGAGGAATGGAGGAAAGAAGGAAAGAAAGGAAGGAAGGAAAATATCTTAAGCATTGTCATAAACATGTATATACAAGAAAAACAAAGTGCATATGGGGTTCGGTGCTCTGCAGCTCTACCCTGGGACCTTGACACACAGGCCCTAGGGATAGTGGAGAACTAACAAGGGAGGAACTTGGTGCCCTGTCTGGTAGAAGATGCTAGGGAATGTTCTTAAAGCTGAAATTTGAGCAGTTACACTATTTTCAGTCCTGATAGGAAGAGAATTTTGTGTTAGTACTGTGCTTGCAAAGCAAGAGCCCTGTTGCTATGCATGTGCATGTACACACACACACACACACACACACACACACACACACACACACACACACACGATGTTTTGAGAGTGTCTTTCCTGATGGCTAATGGGCCTTTAAAGCTCCCAACACCACCAGCTATTCTTCAGACCACCACTGACCATTATTCTCCATGACACTTCTCAAAATTACATCCTCAATCATTACATATTCCCTTCTACTCTCTTCTCACGTCCATATCTTCTTCTGTGATATCCACCCTAAGAGAAATCAGATAAATAGCTCTTGTCATACTACTGCATTTTGAGTAAAATTTCAGTTTTCTTCAACAAGAAAGCTACAATATACTCATTAATTCTGGAGCCAGAATGCCTGTGATCAGGCTGCTGTATGGTTCTTACACTTTAGCTCTTCATCTGTAAAATAAAGATTACGGTCATAACCTAAACCACAGTGTCGCTGCAAGGATTAGATAAGTTAATAACTGGCACAAAATATTATATACACACATGTATATGTATATATTAACATTAGTTATTATCATCATCACTAAGATTAAAAAGGTACAGTTGCTTGGGTGTGTGTGTGTGTGTGTGTGTGTGTGTGTGTGTGTGTGTGTGTGTGTGTGTATACGTATGTGCAGAATTCATGT